AGTAAAAACAGAATTTACTGTGGTAGAAGAAGCTGCGTCAATTAATTCTTTATTTATTTATTAATTAATGTACTTGCGCCTCGATGTCAGAAGACAATGCTGAAACACAATGAACACGTGGGGGCGTCTGAAGCCATGAGACGCGGAGACTCTTGACACGCACCAGACGTTCGGAGGTAATTAATAATATACACTAATACTGAAACAGTTAAGGCATTTTAGAATGACTAAAACAATATTTAAGACGTGTTACAGTGTGATCAGCCTGCTGGTTTGTTCATTTACACACATTTTCATTATCATATGATCATGATTTTTTTTATGTACATACTGTAATTTGTTCAGTAAAAGTGTTTCATCATAGATTTTTTTATTTTCCATCGTAGTTTATGCGCACATTTTCTATCCTACTCAGTTATGCGCGTTTTTTATACATATTTTAAAAAGTTATGTGCATCATGACGTTTCTATCAATCGTTTTTATGCACGTATCCAAAATGAGCATTAAAATAGGTGGGTGGAAACGTAAGGCTAAGGCGAGAAATGCCGCTTCATCTTTAAAAAAGGGGAGGAGACAGACAGAAACTCTGAGTTTAGAGAATAAAACCTGCTCCGGACCAGGTAAGATTAACAAAGTTACCACAGTAACTGACTCTGAGTTAAAGTTACCTCTTTTTCAGAAACAGGCTTGACTTACCCTGCTTTCTTGAGTTTAACAAACCTGCCATTTTGAAATGGAAAACCCAGAGTTTCTCTCATTTCAGGGTTAAAATACTCTGAGTTTTCAGTTAACCTCCTTTCTGAAACAGGCCCCTGATCCAGCAGATGAACTGTCTGACATGCACTATACTCTCACCTGGGGTTTATGCTCACCCGCTGAATTACTGGCTGAAGGTCTTGGCAGAGAGTGTGTGGTCACGTGATTTGCGCTTTTAGCCGTGTACTAGAATGAACAGAGAACTTTTCAGAATTGCTAAATGAAACGCCGGTGTATTTCCCGCGATTTCTCTGCGCCTCCCTTGCGTTTCTTCTCTCTGACTCTCGACTATTTTGACAAATACACACAGAGTCCGATATAGGAGTTTGTGATTGGGCCAGCCAAATGTCAGTAAAGAAAAGAACCAATGGGCTGCAGAGTGTCACATGGGCCGGCCCGGTCTGTCTGTCCGGGAAAAAAAGCATCTACTTTCAGATAGTCACAGATCACAGAAGCGTCAATTAATAAGGCAGAAAAAAAACGATAGGCTGCTAAGCCTTTTATGGGCCGATCAGATCATAAGACGATGATCAGCCCGGCCCAAAAAGTACGTCGGCCCACCGGGAAAGTGCCTGGTTTGCCAGATGGCCAGTCCGCCCCTGAGGACAGGGGGAGATCTTGTAAAAAGACACCCCATTGCAGCATCTCTGGGACTTATGCTGCAATGTATTTCTCTGGTCAGGTATGCATCTGTAATTGTTTGATTTATCTTTGATTAATGGATGTTATATTGTTAGTCTCATCTCTGAATTGGCTTCCTGATGATTTATTATGTAATTGGCAGAATACAATTTTACCTGACAAATAAAATGTTAAGTTTTGATTAATTCTGGAGTTTTGCGAATTCATTGTATCCAGTAGATTAGAGGAGTCTTCATTTCCTTTATTGTGGCATAATTGAATTGATTAATAGGCACATTTGATTATACATAGCCATAGAGAGCCTATAACATGTAGACCTTTTAATTATTTAACCACTGAAAGCAGCAAGTTGTATGGGCTTGGCTAAGGATCTATTTTTTAAGACTAGGTGAGCGTTAGGCAACCAGCCTATTTAAATATAGTTTATCCTGCATCCTCTGACTATTTTCAGAGTGTCGACATATTGTCCGTGAGAAGAAGCGCAAACCCGGGCCGTGGAACTCTGAGCGATGTTGGTCCCTAATGAACGTACAATTAGAATATCGGACCTCAGAAAATATCAAAACTCTAAATTAAATCATAAATGATGAATGTGATCCGTTCTTACAATTAGAAATACAATCTAAATTTTAGGATCATTTAAATTGGAGTCAGATTGAATTCGGAGCTAAAAAAACTAATATAAATAAATTCTAATAAATAATAAAATTCTTTTCAGAAGCACTAGAAAAGGCTTACATGCATTAAACCTTCGACCATGCTGTTTGTTTCGTCATTGGGCTAATAGATGGACTCCTACAACAGATAATTAGATTGAATGTGACTGTATTATAATATTTTTAATTTTTACAGAACAAGTCAGTTACTGATTTGCTCAACCCCCATGCCCTGGAATACACAAATAAACTAGAAAGCTACAAGAAACTCACAAGGGCGTTGATGGATTTGTTTTTTTTCGGCAGAGGAGATGTCGAAATGCTCAGTCATTACAAAAAATGGGGTTCTTGGGGATAAAAGGCCCAGCCTTAACCAAGAACAGGTTAGTAGGTAAGCACACAACAATATTACTTGCATTGGACAGTTTACATTTTATGCAGGTCTAAAATTGGATATGCAAGAATTTAATTTATATGCAGTGATTGTTAATGTACTATATGCAACAAAGGTTCATTCTGAAATAGCCTTATATACATTTCTGGAGATCGCAAATATGTATGTTTATGTAGCCAAAGCTACTTATGACTGCATTTCATCTTTAAAACGAATGCTACAGGGCAGTATGACGCCGTTTCTTTTCTCGCTTTCCAGCTGACCACTTACCTCTGAATGAATAGCTTATTTGGTGTTTGTCCAGTAGCTCAACCCATACGTCAGTGGACTTGACACAGAGTGGAGTTGATCGTGACAATGGGGTTCGAGTCTGGTGAGGAACTTTTCCAGAAAGGATGCAAGTCAAAATCAAAAGCAAAAAAATAAAAAAATAAAACAAGTGAATAACAGGATGTGATTGTGGTAAAATCTGAAAATGTGGTAAAAATCAGGGGACTTTTCTTTTTTTGGATTGCTTTTTTAAACACTGCGGATGGGTTTAGGGAAGGGGCAGGTTGGGGGGATCTGTCGACAGCGGCCTCTGGTGGATTTACGTGAAAACAACAGATGCGAATGGCACTCACGAGAGAAATTTGAAAAAACGTACTATGGTGGATTTGCGAGAACAAAAGCTGTTGACTATATGTTAGGGCTTGTTAGACTTCAAAGTGTCCAGTGCATGTTCAAAAATGGGTTCGGAGTCAATCTGTCCAAAATTATAAATTTTATTTGCTTAAGCAGGAAAGTAACCAAAAGCAATACACTGCGCAGGAGAGGTTTAACTCTGAACTCTCTTTCAGAGACACATCCTTTTTATACCACAGTTGTTTGTCTTCTGTGCATCTTCTCTTAACAGTTTAAACTTTTAAGGCAAATGTCTCCTCATAGCACACACACGGGTCATACACAGCTCATACATACAACTCATTCTTAGACTCTACGTACCCATACAGGATTTGTTTGTCTCAGCAGCCTGCTACACTTCTCTATTCTGTGCAGTTTCACAATAATCAACACTTTACAGGTTGATTGCTAAAGCATGGAAAACATGTAAGTTTTATTTCAACTGAAAAACACCAAAGACTGCACGATACATCAAGAAACTAATGTGATCGCAATAATATTATATGAAATATCTATATCCCAGATAGGTGCAATATGTAAGAGACATTCAGTGAATTGCAAATTAAAGTATTTTAAATGCATGATGTGAGATTATGAGCTTCCCAACGCAAATCAGGGTGTGGTTGCCTTAAAATCCTTTAATGTATGGCAATCCATTAATTATCTTGTTTATTTCATGATCATTTATAGAAATTATAAAGTTATAGAAGTTTAAACTAGTTTTGGTCGTTGCAGAACAATATGTGACAAAATTTTAACCACACCCTGTTTCCTAGTCCCCACATTGAATCAGCAGTGGCAGGCAGACAGAGGGAGGGCTGCTTTTAAGCTCTGCTCAAATACTAGTTATTAAGATGCATTTTTGTTTATCCAATCACAAGTGGACAAAGAAAACATTACCGTTGACACCTTGAGTGTAAACGTGTTTTTTTTTTTTTTTCTTTTGTCCATTTTCACCAAGAATGTGTTATTTTCATTCAGCTTGATCAGGGGTCTTCAAACTCAGACCTGGAGACCCGGTGTCCTGCTGAGTTAAGCTGCGGTCACACTAGTGTTTGATAAATTGCAAAATTCTGCCGTGCAGCGCTGCGAAAAGGGGCGGGATTAAACAAGATTATTAGACATTAAAAAAAGCGAGCGATTGCTCCATGTTTTAAAACTTCTGTCCAGAGAGGTCATGTTTTGATCTAGAGATCTGCGCGGGACTAAATTTTGAATTCTAGCTCGAACCCGACTGCTCCCGCTTACATTCAGCATTTGTTGTCCCGCTGCCTGACCCGCCGCGCCCGATCCCGCTAAGGAGCAGGGGGAGAACAAAACCGAAAACCACCCAGCTATATAGAGTCCGGACAGCCTATAACAAGCTGTCTGTATAAACACACACACACACACACACACACACATAAGCACCAAGCACATACACACACAGACAGACAAAGCTCTCTCTCATTCGCGCGCGCACTCGCGCACTAACACACACCCACACAAACATAAGCACCAAGCACACACACAGGCAAAGCTCTCTCTCATTCACGCGCGCACACACACATACACACACACAGCAACAAACAAGCTAAACACAGCATCGCGCTATTTCATTTACACACAGACATACGTGTGCTCAATCGGGAGTCGGGAGTAATATTGCTAGACGGCCCACTCCCGTCCCAAATTAAACCAGTTACCGACCGCTCAACCGATTTATTCGGAAATTTATTCCCGCGCCGCAAAAATCTGGTCGGGTCCCGCGGCTATGGTAAGTGTTATGGTAATGTTATTAAGGTAAGTGTGAGCGGCTTGAGGACCCTGCATTAGTACAGGGCTAAACAATCACATATTTCTGAAATAACATGGAGGTCTAATATTACTGACACTTATCCAGACAAGCAATTATTAACTCCTACAGTTTATATAAGCAATCCAGACATCAGCTCAAGTTCACCTGATTACTGATGTACAAAACAAAGCAGATTACAGTGTGAGAATGACTGTACTGGGTGAATGTGTGTGTGAACGCTCAGAATACAGATGTAGAGGCAAAATTAGATGATCATAACTGATGAAAACAGAAACACACACACACACACACAGAAGAGACTGTAGATCATCTCACTGCTACTGACTGATCCTGCAGAGGATTCTGGGTAAATCTCCCATCAGTCTTTAACACAGTTTCACCGAGGATCCATACTCAACCCAAAACCCAGGATAGAGCGGCTCAGTGAATGTGGTCTGGACTGAGTGGATGAGGCTCATTGTGTCTCTATAGATGTTGTAGAAGATCAGAGTTCCCGCACTGTGATCCACAAACACTCCTATTCTCCTGCTCATCAACTTTACTGGGAGACGAGTCTCTATCATATTGTGTCTGAATGCGACTCTGTTAACGTAGCAGATTAAAGCCCAGGACTGAGCATTTTGTCCAAGCACACACTCATAACCTCGTCCCTTCCTCTTGATGCTCTTATATGACACTGCTATATCCACACGATCTCCTGCATTCATCTCAATCTCCCAGTAACAGCGTCCACACACACTCTCTCTGCACAACACATGAGCATGATGATCAAATCTGTCTGGATGATCAGGATACTGTTGTCTCTCTCCCACTCGGGTCACCCTTCTGTTCTCCTCAGACAGTCTGAGTTCAATGTGTGCTGTGTTTGGAGCCAGTGTGAGGAAACAGGCATCTGAACACAAGAAGAGACATTTATAACACAACAACACTCACCACAGCCGTGTATGTGTGTGTATTTAGACGTACATTTGTGCAGTCCCGCTGTAAACCACTTCTCTCCTCCATGATCCAGACTATAAACACACACCGATTGACATTCAGTCAGTACACAATCACTAAACACACTTTATTTTTAGCAGCAGCAGTCAGAAATAAAAACATCAAGCATCACTAATTATGTACACTACTTTAATTCATTCATGTTTACATTAGATGGCTGTTATGCTTGATTGTAATTAGCTAATTATTGCATTATATTTATACTTTAATAACTGCATTAATAACTCCTTTAGAGTATTCTACTTCGTTCTGTCTAAATAGTAAGTAAAATTCACATAATAGCAATATAGACTCTTCTCATCCATCACAGTAATGTATATCTGGCTAACCCCATAGAGACTGTGTCTGTTCCTCATACTATAAGATCAAGAAATAAGCGTACTGTGTGCTCCAGAAAACAATCCATTTAAAATTAAAAGTTGGAGTTAAAAAATAGACATTATTTAAAGCTCTGTCTCCTAAACATCAGGTCACTAGCACCTAAAGCAGTTATCATAAATGAAATAATAACAGATAATAATATTAATGCACTCTGTTTCACTGAAACCTGGCTGAAACAAAATGACTATATTAGTTTAAATGAAGAAACTCTTCCAGGATTCTTATATAAACACGAGGCTCATTAAACTGGTCTTTAGTAATATTCTAAATGTTAACCAGATAAACTCACTTATGTTTAACTTATTTGAAGTATTAGCGCTTAATATTATGCTTCTGGATATTATGAAAAAAACAAAAAACTGTTATCTCCTGCTTTAATCACCGCATATAGACCCCCAGGACCCTTTGTCATTTTTCTAAAAGAGTTTTCTGATTTTATTTTCGACTTAATAGTCAAAACTGATAAAACACTAAATGTAGGAGACTTTAACATACACGTACATGATGCTAATGACATGATGCTAATGACACAGTAGGGCTTGCATTTGCAGATGTGTTACAATGAGTCCCACCGCAAATTAGTAATAATGACTTGATTAATTCTTTCAATGATAAACTAGAAGGCTTCAGACACAAAATTGAGGATGTTAAAAATAGACTTCAGATTCATTAAACATACCAGTAAATCAATATAATCTACACTGTAAAAAATTGCTGTTAAAAAACGGTCAGATTCTACAGTAAAATAATGTTTTTTCACTAAAACAGTAATATTCTGTTAAAAACAGTGCTTTCTGGGTAACATTTTTGTTTTCGAGAAAGTAACCAACTGCAGAAAACTGTGAGCTAACAGAGTTCAGATTCGATGTTTTGAAGTCTGTGTTTGAAATCACACTTTGTGCCCTTGTTCACTATTTCATACACTAGTTAACTAATATAGTTCACCTGACAGAGTTAATGAACACTAATGAGTGGATTCAGACACTGATGAACACCTGCTGTTAATAATCACAATTACTGAAGGAAAGAGAAACAAGAAACACAAACAGTGACTTGAGTTACAACATTAAATAAAATAAAATAAAACAGCTTCAGTCTCAGCAGAGGATCATTAAACAACTCCACAAACAACAGCAGACACACACTTATTACTGACTGATTTGACTTCCATACTATTCTCATTGAGATCCAACAGAAATTAAGGTGTTTTTTGTGTCACCGTAATGGAGTGAGGGGCTGATTTAGTTGGGCTCTTCACCCTTGAACTTATTAATTCAGACTCTCCAATTACTATAATAAAGAGTTAACAAAATGCTTATATTATAGCAATCAAGTTGGAAAGTTAATCAATAGAGAAATCTATTTGTCGGAAATTAGTTCTGATAAATGTTTTGTTATAAATCTAGAAGAAGGGCCTCATTCAATAGATTTTATGCTTAGTTGCAGGTATTAATTTAATTAATGAGAAGTGGAAACAGAAAAGATGCCTCCGTAATTACTTAACAGTTAAGAAATAACATACAAAAACAGTTCAGTTATGACAGATACACACTCAGACCTCATGAATCTGACCTTGTATCTCAACAATGGTAACATCTCAAATGTTTCATGCTACAATGCATGCTGGGAGTGGCACGGTACCAATATCCCAGCATGCATTGCGGTATAAATAAATGTTGTATAATGGTCACACAGTTTTCTTTATTTGTGTTTGATTCTGCTGTTGTTTATGTTTAGACTTTCAGTTGCCTGTTTGTGAGTTAAACTGTTAATTTTGTTAGTTGTCACCATTATTGAGGTTCATATGCTGATTATTGATGTCTCTTTGAGTGCGATTTACACCATAGAGCAGTGTTATTGTCCAAGATATTCTTAAAACTTCCAGAAATCATTGCCATATATAGACATATAATGTAAAACAATAGATTTAACATTGAATAGGAGCAGTAAATTTTATTATACTAAATGAGAACAGACTCTGCCATTTAATAGCAACATGAACATTACCAGATCTTATTTAGGTTTTTGGCTGACTTGCCACAACAAAGGAGCGTTTTAAACAAAGTTCTTCACAATTGCAGCAGCCAAAATATATAAATGTTAAAAATGACAGGGCTAAGAGCCCAACTAAAGCAAACTCTGTTCTCCATGATGGTGACGTAAAACTTTAACTTTTTCTCAAGAAGAACTTTAGTAAATGTTATACAAAAATACATGTATTAAGTAATAAGTGTAGCTGGTGATGATGTTTGTAGAGTTGTTTAATCATCCGCTGATCATTTAAATGATTTAATCATTTGTTGTTCTTCAGGTTATTTCATTATAAAGCTGTGACTAAAGTTTTGTATGTTCTGTTCTTGTTTTTTCCCTTCAGTATTTCTTCATTTGTTCATTGTTAATCCTCAATTATCATTTAATTAGTCAGTTAATTAATGAATTTACTTCAGCTTTGCTACATGTTTCTTGAACACTCAGTAGTGTGGACACTTCAATTAAAACTGAAGTATATGCTCTGGGGTTTAAAGGGTTAAAGGTGTGAGAGGTAAAAACACAGTGTAAAAATGTATTTTAACAGTAATATACTGTTCATTTACACTACGGAAATAGACTGTAAAAAAACAGTATATTGCTGGCAACCACAGCTGCCAGTAGATTACCGTTAAATCAAGGAAAAAACAGTATTTTACTGTAAAACCTGAAGCTAATTTCTTCTGTCTGTCACCGTTGTGAAGGAGAGTAGAGCCAGTGTATGAGTTAAAGATGAACAATGAACTGCTGATGTTATTCTGCATGTTTCTCTATTTAAAGATAGCGGCTGTTTAGTTGCTGATGCAGTCAGAATCTCTCTGGTGATTCCAGATTTACATGTATGTGTGCTGTTGTGAAAAATAAGACATTACAGTTAAACCGAACTTTTCTAATTAACTAAAATAAGTTATCTTTATAAGTATGCTTCTAAGCATATATAGCACATTACTTCATAAACTCATTCAGCAGTTGACCAGTTTGAGGCAGTTGCCTTCAGTGAGCAAAATGAGTTCACTTGAGTATTGTGTAAATCAATGTAGTCCATGTATTTTTACAGCAACATACTGTAAAATAACAGTACATTGCTGGCAACTGCAGCTGCCAGTATTTTACTGTTTTTTAACGGGACAATTTTTAACAGTGTACAGTGCTTCAAAATTATAGAATAGGAAGAGCTAGATCAATCAATCAATCAAGCCTGTCACATACACTTTCATGTAGTGAGATTAAGTCTATTATTAAGAAACCACAACTAGACCCCAGCAACTGAGCTAATTATACGTCTATTTACAAACTCTGTCAATATCTGTCTCGAAGGCATGAGAAGCATGCCTGTATGAAGCCTGAAATGTGCACTTTTAAAATGAGCCAACTATTCATATGCAATATATAAATGCAATGCAGAATTCTCCTTCTGAGCTCAATATCCCGCTGATGAGTTCCGCCTTCTACATTCAAACACAAATCATGACGACCAAGGTACCGGTGCTATAATGGCATTTGAAAACAGCTCACTAAAGCTCTGATTTTTTCAATACATTTAACAAGTTTGCTAAACACTTAGCACACCAACACACCTAAAATATACAATTGGCAAAACAGTTAATTTTATGCTCAAAATCACACATTGTAAACTAAACCTCTAAACTAATGTTCAAAAGTCCAATTTACTAATGCTTTCACACAGTATGTCAGAACAGATAACATCATGTTCTAAACAGAACCTATATAGGCTATATAGGTTCTATATATCAATTGAAACACAAATTATATATATATATATATATATATATATATATATATATATATATATATATATATATATATATATATATATATATATATATATATATCACAGCTGATTCCCATCTAGTAACCACAAGAGGTTTATCAAATCACATGATCATACTGTACGTTCTAAAAGAGGACTCATGAGGATTTTGAAAGGAACAGTAAGCGCATCAAAGAACTCCGTAAGCAATACGTCCAGGTAAGGTCATGCAATATAGTGATTACTTTACTATGCACAGGGTGTTTTGCAGTAAACTACTCTATTAACCTGGTGTTCATTAGTACATAGGCCTACATCAGTTATACAGTAAAGTGAAACATTTACACTGTGTGTCTAATTACTTTTAGAGAGTCATGGAGTTGGAGGCCAATCAAGTCCCACATGAAATTATCTATGTTGCAAGGTTGGCTTCAACAAGGCGTCGCCGTAGGAGAAACATAATAGGCCAAAGGGCCACCATTACCATGCCGGGCCAGAGAAGAAGAAGAAGTCGGCAAATACAGAAGACCGGGCAGAATAGAAGATTAGTTTTTTTTTATTATTATTATTGCGGTGCTTTTTTGGTGTGTATATCTTGCAGTAATGTCCTTTTGCATATAAAGTCTGTACTGCAGCAATTCTGTGTCTGTATTTTTTTTTTTTTTTACAAACAGTAAACTATAATTTTTTTAAAGCTACTCTGGGATAGTCATTATTTTTTGTATTGAATTTCTGCAGCATAAGAAATAAAATGCACGAATGTACTGTACTAAACCCAACAACACAAAACTGTAGAGAGGCTTCAAATATAAGGGCAGAGCTGACACATAAACTAATGCAGTTTCTGTAATGTCAGCAGATGATAGTGTTTTTATTGTCAGTGTTTTCTGATTGACTGAATGTTTCTGTTGGAAGAGAACATGTGTTAGTGTTTTGAACAATTATTTCATTTTGAAACATGTTTACAGTGTTTTGTTAGACATGGTGTAGTGTATTTGTTTATTATTGTATTTTGGACATTAGTTTAGAGGTTTAGTTTACAATGTGTGATTTTGAGCATGAAATTTATTGTTTTGCCAATTGTGTGTTTTAGGTGTGTTGCTGCATTAAGAGTTTAGCAAACTTATTAAATGTTTTGAAAAAACTGTCATAGTCATTGTAAAAAGCTAATTTCATGTGCTACTTGGCTGGCCTCCAACTTCATAACTCTCTGAAAGTAATTAGACACAGTGTATGTAAATGTTGTACTGTACTTTATGTCTACTGTTTGTACTAATGAACTCCAGGTTTATAGAGTAGTTTACTGCAAAACACACTGTGTATAGTACAGTGATGACTGTATTGCATAACCTTACCTGAACGCATTGGTGACAGAGTTCTTTGATGCACTCAATGTTCCTTTCAAAAACCTCAAAAGTCCTCTTTTAGAACGTATGATCATGTGTTTGTGAAAAACTCAACACATAAGTGTGGTTTCTAGATGGGAATCAGCTGCAATAAGCTGTTTCTCACTGGCAATGGAATAAAATACAGGGAATAATTTTTAATTGACAATATAAACAGCTGTTCACTTTGACTTTATCTTATATAAGTTCTGTTTAGAACATGGTGTTATCTGTTCTGACATACTGCGTGAAAGCATTTGTAAATTTTACTGTAATATTACATTGTTTTGGTCTTGGTTGAGTTTGTGTGTAAAAGAAGTTCAAGCATTTTAAATTGGCTTTAACTGGTTGCATTTTGTGTCAAAGCAACTACAAATGCGTAAAATGTATAGCCAACAAAGACGGATGTTGTGCTAATCATGTTAAGAGTTTAAAAAACTCGTTAAATTTATTGAAAAAATTGTTATAGCCATTGTAAAAACTTTAAATGATGTGCGTACAGGTTTCACTTTCACTTCCTAGTGCGGCTCATGGCTGCTGTCACTGTGAGAAAACACATACATGCAAATCAAACCTCCCGCCCGGCCCTCAAACGATCGCTCTGTGCAACAAACTAAACGTTATTTACAACTTTATTACCTGTTATCCACAGTATATTGCAGGTTGTGTTTACTAAAGTAAGCGTTATTTGCGTGCACGCACACTTTCTCGGCAGTAAACAAACAGTGCGTCAGCTCACGTGTGATTTTATGTCCTTGAATACATCATTAAATGAAGACAGGAATAACATTTTGGGTGAGTTATACCTTATAAATACAGTATGTGACACTTTTAACGCCATTTGAAGGTGTCAATGTTGCTGTGAAGACTTCTGCGGCTGCCTTTTCTTCTCTCCTGACCATGAAAATATAATTGGCTGAATCGTAGAAAAAGCTGAATTAGGATTATGTTGAATTGAGATTGTGATCTTTTTACGATTAATCATGCAGCCCTACGCATGACACTGCTTAAAGTAAACAAGGAATATGATGAAAGATTCCTCTCATCCCAGTCACAAAATATTCAATGCACTCCCATCTAAAGTATTCAGTGTTGCACCAGAAGACTCAGGAACAGTTTCTTTTCCTCAGCTGTAAACTTACTGAAGAACAACCTCAACCGCTGAACAATACTCACTAGATCCGCCATTTTAAAAACACAAACTTAAATGATGTAATTTACAGCCTCTGCATACCTCGCTGTACAATATACCTTTTACTCATTATATACTGCACTGTCTATATTCCTGCACCTTCTATCATACCGTTTCCACCCCCAAACCTACCCTCCACCCTTAATATCATTTACCTTGCACTATATCCTATAAAGTTGTGCATACATATTTTTATACATGTATATTATTTGTATTCTTGTTATTTGCGCGTCTGGTTAGATGCCAATTGCATTTCATTGGCTTTGTACTGTAGTAAAACATGTTTTTGCTCCTCCACATACTTGAGTTTGTCCAGTGTGTAGCTTGGATCCTCCAGTTGTTCAGAGAGCAGCTTGACTCCTGAATCTCCTGGATAATTGTAGCTCAGATCCAGCTCTCTCAGGTGTGAGGGGTTTGAAGTCAGAGCTGAGGACAGAAAACCACAGCCTTCCTCTGTCACCATACAGCCAGACAATCTACAAACACAGATCACATTAGTTTGACAAATGTCACTAACACGGCAGGAAAACAGATCAAAGGAGCACATGGAGAAGGTCACATGACAAAAACACAGGAGCCTGACACTCCTCAGGTACACAATCATACATTCGTTTATAGTAATTAAAATCAACCAATATTCTTGCTTGCAGCGCTTAAAAATGATGCAACTACATTCTTTTCTACATTTTGTTCCACCCATATCATCCTGCTTATGAAAAAAATACAGTTTTGCTTGGCACAACAAATAAAAAAAATACAAATGATCTATTCATTAAATATTTAAAACTAGTATATAGATTACTATTAAAATACACTGTTCAAACTTATAGAAATGCATAGATTCAAGTGATGCAAAGAAGACACACAAACATACAGGGCCTTATAATTGAGTGAGAACATGCAGACAGAGCATATGCAATACATTTAGACAAATGTATGTATTGATCAAGATGAAAACAACCCTTACTAAAATAACATACATAAAGAGAATCATTTAGAAAGAGAAAACAACAAGATCATATGTAAACATTGTAAGCACATGCTATATGACCTATACGATATGTAGAAACAGGTGGGGGGCTCGATCAGCCATCTCTGCTGAAACAATAAACTGCTTCACTTGAGAACTTCGAAGACCTAGGCTTCTTTTTAGAAACCGAGAAAATTTTTTTTTGAGATCCAGCGTAATTTTCCACTACATTATTTGCGCTTTTCTAAAAGCGAAGGGCACAGCCGAAATTTCGGCCGCTTCAGTAGATTATTCAACTAAAATGGTGGCTGCTATAGTTGATGACACAGCCAAAAACTTTCTCGCTGTAAATTTTGACAGCACTGTTGCTTCGAGCAAACCGCCATAGAATGCAGAAGTCTTACAGGCAGATGATATTGAGCAAGAAGATGAAGTAGTGGTGCTCACTATTTGGAAAAGTAAACTCACAGAGACTAATCTCTAATTATTAAATAAGTACTGTAATGGTCTAAAAGTTAAACGTAGATGCACTTTTCCTTTTTCCAGTATTTAAAGAATGCAATGCTCAATTAGCTATAATTGTCTATTATAGAGGTGCCATGTGCAAACACTCAGGAGGAAGCAGGATTCTTTGTTTAGCGGTCACATAAGCGCAGTGCAAGAATAGGACACAATAATGAAATGGGCTGGGTACATAGTTGGGCCAGGGGCTCAGAAAAACATGAGAGTAGACTGGTCTAATTTCCCTGCATGATTCGCTGACCGAAAATGCTTCCAGATATCTGACCCTTGTATCAATGCCACTGCAACCAGCAGAGCTGTCTAAATGAACAGAAATCTTAAAGGGTCATGACACCCCCCACTTTCGGTTCAGGTCTACCTCAGAATTTTTTCAAAACATGCATCATAGTGGGCGTGGAGCTCCGCAAGCAACGGGCAGGAGTGGGTGTGGCCAGCAGAGCAGGGGAGAAGGAGGGGAGAGAGCAACTTTTGTCAGTAGGTTCACAAAATGAGACACAAACCATGCGGAGACCTATGATTTTATAGTTCACAAAGTTAAAAAGCAAAGAAATAAACAGTAATTTAATGTCCTGCTGCTACATTTGTAATTTAATATACAGATTTATATATATATATATATATATATATATATATATATATATATATATATATATATATATATACCGCAATTTCTATCATTATAAAGATAATGGTGTTCATATAAACACTAAATAAGGACTTTTCCCTCAATGCCTGGGTCTAATGGAGACTCAGTGCAGCAGTTCTCTGCCCTGTCTATTTTAACCATTAGCCCTGCTGGTAATCTGGAGGATTTAGGCGAACACAGCAGCACGGCGATGTGTCTAAATGTGAACAAACTCCTGATAAAAGACCATTCTCCAATTCTCGTACTGCTCTCCCGACAAAAATGCTTGCAGCACACACACACTTTTGCAGTCTCGGCCTTGATAGGATCGCATGGAAAAACATACAACAAACCCCATGGATCATGGAAACAAACACATACGACCCTTCATGAATGGCTAAATACTGTGTGCCGTGGGTCCGCGGACGCGTCTCACCCAGTTATCAACGTAGGATTTCTCAGCTGAGCTTGGCACTGGCAGCAGGTCCTTGGAAAGCACGTGCTCTCATGAATAATTAAGAAGCCGGCTCTTCTCATAGGATAAGAAAACTATGCTATGAATAATAATGAAAAAACCGACGCGTCATCTTTACACTTGCAGTTCTCCGCTATGTTGCCGATTTTGATCCCGCCCCAAAAATCATTTTAAACCCGGAAGCTGAAATAAGCTGACAAAAGCTCAAAATTACCCGGTTTTCCCCACAATTAAAGCTAACAGGTGCTAACATTGTACTAACTGATGCTAAACACACACAAATCTGTTAAAATCTCAAAAGAAGTACTTGAGGGTTTCGTGAACCTTTAAAGAGACTGAGTTGAATGGATCGAGTGGACCTCGCTGCAGACAGAAGAGGCTACAGAGAGATCTCCAAGAAGGCATGAGACGAGGACAGGATGGATCCGAAGACAGAAACCACCGCATTCTGAAATGCATGGTCAAAACGTCTTGACTTGTCAGAAACGCGTCTTGAAAAAGATAAGTTATCTAATCGTGTTGCTCTCTAAGGGAAAGTGCTTTTTCATCAGACTGCTCTTTTAAAAGTACCCTGTGAAACGCCCACAGACAGGAGAAGGGACCCAGCTTGACCACCACTGCTCACGTTGTCGCTCACACTGGATACAGGAGAAATGACTGTCTCTCTGTAGGAGGCAGCTTTCTCTCAATTTCTCAGGAACTCAGACTCGATCAGCAAACTCAGAACTCTCTCAATTGCACGTGAGTTTTCTGAAAGTGAAAGTGTGTTGAGCTCCCTGCAGCTGATGAATTCATACACTTTACTAACGATGAAATGAACGTGGAAATGTGCAGGTCCACGCCAACCTCATTTCTTGTGTGTGTCTGTTTTATTTCCATTGGTGACTCCTAGAGGCAGTTGTGTTAAATAGCACTCTACAAAGTGTCTTTGAGCCGTGTAATGGCAGCTGTATGAGACGGGTTGATCCGCATGTCTAGCAGGTATATAAGGTTTCCATACCATGCAGTTGACCAGCCAAACATTAATGAGCAATTTGCAGCGGTCGCCGTTTTTCCCAGTGTAATCAGAGCGATCTACTGCACACACATTGCTTTAAAGGCACCATCTGAAGATGAATTTGCATACGTGAATCAGAAACATTTCCATTTAATAAATGTGCAAATAAAATATGATGCACAGACTTATTAATAGTTCCTACTTGTCTTCCTCGTGATGAAGAGTATAGGCAAAATCTGATATGTAGCGGGGGAAAATAAGAATGAGTTTATCAGAAGCTGTATTTGAACCGAATTCATGCTCGAGCGTGTCACAACATGATGCCATGTGTTTTCCAAGCTACGCCACTTGCGCTGTTGAAGATATTAAAAAACTTTACAGCTTTACATCGCACTATTTCTTTTTCAATTCACTCAGAGCGATGTTCAGACCCAACTGCTAAACTCTCCCACCACTATTTTTTTCTTTTGTTATTAATTCCGGAGGACAAACTTGCAACCTCCGAAAGCAGCACCTCCAATTCTCATTCTGTTCAAAGTTTTTCTTTTTCTTTGCTTTTGCCATTGCTTTTTCGTTGGGTTTTGCCAAAGTAGAGTCATTGGCATATTCATACAGGGGAGGAGGCAGAGAGGGGTTTTGCGCTCATGCATGTTGCGCTTAGTTTCACGTTCATTCAGTTGTACAAAGAGAATATGCGTGATTCGTCGTACGCAGAGTTTCATACATCTGAATATTTTACTGCGTTCGCACATTTACAGCTTTGTGCGTATGCAATGTTTTAGTATGATTTCAACGCAAGTCTTCGTACATGAGGCCCCAGACGAGGGTTTTATGACCTTAAGGTTAACTTCACACTTTTTTCCAAATTTCAGAAGATAAACTATTGACTATCGATAGTCATGCTGACACTACTAACCTCAAATTTGTGCTTTGCGACCAAAAATAATGTGTGCCTAGCTGAGAGAGAGAAAAAGCGGCCCTGATCAACTCACTCTTCTTTCTTATCTAAGGGCCCGTTTCCATTGACTGGTACAGTACGAAACAGGTCATGGGCTTGCGTTTCTACTGCCCAAAGGGTACCAAGACTACCCTTTTGGTAGGCGTTGTGTAAAACATTAAGTTTCAGTCTACGTCATTCTTGCTCTAGAGAACCAAAATCAAATAACGCTGGAGCGCAATGCATACTTCACTACTAAACCTGATTCTTTACAACTACTTTACAAAAATCTTTAACTCTCTGCTGTGCATAATAATTTAGAACAGTGCATTCTGAATTTTTAATTTTGAAATGAACACTAAACATCTTTGGGAGGTCTGTCCAATATAATTTGACATTTGATGACTGAGTGTACTTTACAATTAAGGAAATCAGAGAAATATGAAGTTTTTTACCTCAGTATCTCCAGTTTACACTTTGGGCTCTTCAGTCCATCAGAGAGAAGCTTCACTCCTGAATCCTGCAGGTCATTGTTACTCAGGTCCAGCTCTCTCAGCACACAGTTTGAGGATTGTAGAGCTGAAGACAAACTCTCACAAGACTGAGCAGTGAGATTACAGCATTGTAGGCTGTGAGGAAAACAGAAAATAATGATTTTGCATTTAGCTAGCCAAGGTAATGCAGAGCTGTGACAAAAACATTTGAATGTTGGGTTTTAGTTTGGGCAAAGGAAAAATCACTATATGTATTCTGTAAATACTTAATTTAAGAGAGAATTCAAGGCTGTTTCAAGAGTTCACACTTAG